AAAAAAAAAAAAAAAAAAAAAAAAAAAAAAAAAAGGCGCAAAACCAAACCCCAAAACCCACCAAACAAAAACCCAACAAAGAATCCCAAACTATCTTCCCCCTCCCCCCGCAAAGAAAAAAAAAACAAAAAACAAAAAACAAACAAGACAAAACCCCCAAAGCAACCATGCAAAAACCCCACTGGAAAAGCCAACCCAAAAAAACCCAAAAGCCAACCCAAACAAAAACCCCAAAACCCAACAGCATCAACAAAAAAACGACAGACACACAAAGAAAAAAACAACCAACGGCCCAAACCCCAAAAAAGAACGTGAAAACCCTCAGGGTTCCCTGCACACCCTCATCAGCCCTGCTCGGAGGAGCCTCAGAGGTCAAAAGGGCCTAACGTCCCGCGCTGGACAAATAGAGAGATCCCATGGACATGCCAGGGTAACGTGTCAGCGCCGGGCATCCATCACCCGGTCGCTGGAGCTGCTGCCTTGACGCAGGAGGGGACCCACGCTTGCCGGGATCACCTCGCATCTCCCCGCTCCTGGCGGGGCGTGGCACGCGGCATGTCCCGGCGATCTTTTCCTCTTAAGTTCCCTCAATGCTGAATGTGCTTTATTCGCCAAAACCTGGCGCTCCAGATAGGATTTCTCCCTTCTTCTGAAGGACGCTGGTTGTTCTCCCCACAACTTATTCCCACCGTCCCGGCCACCAACATTGTCCCACACTGGTCTACATAAAGCACATTGCTTTATTGTCCCACTCCCTCTTTCCCTGTCTGCCATCGCGGGGCAAATCCCGACTCGTTTGTCCCAAGGACTACTCCCGGCAGCCAGACCGGACCCAGGCCGCCAGCAACGGCAGCCGTTGTGCCTACACCAGCACGAACCTTCCCGAGGGACACGCAGCCTCGAGCTCGGCCCGGAGCGCCGGATCCTGCCTGACGCGCCCGGCTCCCCCCGGGGCAGCGAGGCAGTCTCTCGCTCCCGGAGGGCGCACCGAGCACGGTGCCCTGCACCAAGCCCGGGCCGGGAGCATCGCCTGGGGCGGCTGCGACACAGTCCGAGCAGGCTGTAATCCCCAAGGGGATTCCTTGCGCTCGGGAAGGATGGGGGAGAGAGGGGAAAGGACTCGTGAAGCGTTTCCAAAAAATTAAGAAACTGTGCTTTCGTAAGGTCCGAGGAATGACAGGGAAGGGGGGTGGCAGAGCGCACCCGCCTCCGTCCCGGTCCTGCCCGCCGAGCCAGGCCCGGCACGGCGGCGGCAGAGGCAGAAGGGCACGGAGCCGCGGGAGCAGGCTGACAAGTGTGATAAAATGATCTTCCTTAACTAAACTCGTAAAGCACTGGGCAATAAAACTCAATCTTCTGTAAAATCCAATTAAGTCATTATCTGACTGATTGTATCTTTAATTGAAAACAGAAGTGACAGTAAATTTCTGTGATATATCAGGATCAATCGATACCGCTATACGATTCAGCCTCAAGAAATGATTTATAATGTCAAACCTATATAGGTAACTCCACATTATTCTCTCTAAAACCACTGGTGGATGAAATTAAGAGTAAGTGCATTTAATAAAAAACAAGATGGTCAGGTTATTGATTACAACAGATGGGGGTGAAATCAAATAGATGTTTTCAAAGCACAGAGCGAAGAAAATACAAGTAATTTCTTTTTTTTTTTTTTTTTTTCTGTTCTAATACAGCTCGCCAAATATACACACAAGAAAATTCAGTCATCAATAACATTTTTATTTCAGGTACAGCTACAACTACAGAGAACAATGAACTTTTCTAGACTAGTTTCATTTAGGAGTGGCTTTGGTAACACAATAAAACAACACCATAAGCCATTTTTAACAAAATAACAAACACCAAAATCCGTGGCAACTTTTTAAGGGTCGTATTTACTTGCAGTTTAGATTGCAATCTAAGGCAAGGCACTCAACTGTATTATGCAAAATATGTTAATTTGGCAACATGAGAAGAAAACTCCCGGACCGAGCAGCAGCCTGTAAGGAACCATTAGAAATACATAACGGCATGATGTTTCCCAGGGAGGGGCCGGTACAGGACACCCGGTTATCTTGGCTCCTTCTACCTCGAGCCCCTGCCCGCATTTTGGCGACGCTCTCTCCGGCTTTGCCCCGACAGCGCTGCAGGCCTGCGGTGGAGGCTCCGCGCTGCTTCCCGGCCACCGATGCGCCAGCCGGCCCAGACGGCGGCGGGGAGCGCCCCACGGCCGCGCCCGGGGAAGCTGGCATCCCGCCCCGCTCCTGGAAAGAAGAAAACAAACGCCCCCACGCCCTCCCCCCGCAACCCCTAAGCAGAACAAGCAAACTGAGAACGCTGCTGCTGCACCGCCCTGCCCTGGGCGAGGGCCGCCGCAACGCAACTACTCGCCGCCCTCCTGGACGGGGCTCACCGCGAAGTTGCTGGGCTGTGCGGAGGGCTCGCACTCCATGTCCCCCTTGGTGCTCTCGCTGCTGGACAGGCACCCCAGGCCCGAGTCCTGGCTGCTGGGCGGCGAAAACACTGCAAGCAACGGGAAGACAGAGAAAAAACAGTGCCTGAGACACCCCACCACGGCCCCGACCTGTGAGACCCACACTGATCTCCCCAGTCTGGGAAGAGTGGCGAGGAGGTGTTTCCCCACTGCATGGTGAGGTGACCTCCCTCCTCCCGCCAAGTCGAACACAAGGGGAGTAATGATGTGGGGGAACAATCTTGGTCCTGGGAACTGTATCCCCTTCACCCAGGAGTTAGTAACCTGCTTAAAGACATAAGGCCCTGGCTCAGGCAGCCCGAGGCTGAGGCCAAATATTACAGAATTTAAAACTAATACAGTGCTAGGAACGGTTGCAACATTGCAATTTGCAGTAGATACAAAAACCAAGTAAAAGGGTCTCTGACCTTCCTAACCTTAGATGAGTTGAGAACCACCTCCAACACTCCCTTCCTGCCTACCGTGAATATAATTAAGGAGAAGCTGCAGTGGTAATTTCTCTCCTCATTAACTTCCTGATTGGTTTCAGGCTCAGGATTCCAGCGGGCAGCAGTTTGTCACCAATTCCAAATGGCCAATCGTTAATACTAATGTTTGTGTAGCTAACTGCCAGCATCCGCCACGGCTTCTTGTACAACAGTAATAGTGAAAGGGTAACATTAGTGCTTCCCATGTTAATTCAGATTCTGTTCATCAATAGGAAAATCTATGATATAATTAGCAAAATGCATTGGTAGTTCAGGCAGTCCGAGGGAAACTAAATCACAGCGGGAGCTCCATGAGCACCTGAACCCTTAATTATCAATATTATGTTTTGGATTTTACTGTTTAGTGGAGAATGTTACCAAGCTGCGGACTTTTAAAAGAGAATATTGTTTACAGCCATTACTTGTTTTTTAGAAGCCATGATGAATCTAGTACTACTGCACAAAAACAAGGAATATGGAATTGAGGCTTAAACTCTGTCCTAAAACCACACCATTGTGCCTAAGCAAGCAACTTCTCCATGCTTGAGACCTGAGTGCTTGCAGACTCTGAGGACCTCTAGCATGTCTGAAGTCCAATGAAAAAGAAGAGGTCAGGTTTGATTTTGACAGCCAGCCAAATCCAATGTGATTCAAGGAAAGTAAACCAGCACCATCTAGGTTTATCACATCACTGAGAAAATGAGAAATTCTCTCTCAAAAAAGCACCAACATCCCACTTCTGTAAGTACCTTGTGTTTCTGAAGTAACTTCCATTTGCAGCTCAGCTTCCTAATTTGTCCTTATTTTAAACAAAACACTGGTTACCAAGAGATGGAAAAGATATTATGAAGTTGACATCTCCCATAACATTTTCATCTACTTAACCCATGACTAGAAAAAAATGACAGTTTCTGTTCCTTTCAGGGAGTTTTGAGCATTTTTGACATTGCCAAACCTAGCTCCTTGCTTTAGTACAAGTCTCTCCTTCGATGCAAATAAGGCTGTAACATCACTCCGACAAAGCAGACTCTATTATTGTCTTTTAGATTTGACATAAAACTTGTTTTTTTTTAACCCTAGTGAATGGGATATTAACCCTGTATTACATTTTTTCCTAGCTAAAATATAAAGAAAATACTGCAACACTTAAACGTGAGGGACAAGATTGTCAAGGCAACTTCCAACAATTTTTACACATTCCTGAATGCTACTTATGATTTAGTGTCACAGAAAGAGGAATCTGGTCTGCAGCATCATGTATGCCTTTGCTATGTGGTCTAAGGCACAAAACAGCCAAACAGGTCTTCAGCATCTCCAGGCCTGAACAACCAGTGCACTGCTGGAAGAGGGCACTGCTCTGCACTTAGAGCAGGCTGGAACAGCAGTTACGTTAACTGGCAGCTGGAAAAAGCTTTTGAATTTTTCTAGCCCAGCAACCATGCGGTCTGCAAGAGTCAAGTTCTCTTCTGCCATGACAGCATACCAGGCAATTCCTCATGCTGTGTTTTCTGCCTTCCCTATTTAGTGAGTAGGGTTGATGGTAGAGTCCAAGAAGTCCCATCTCACTGTCTGGATGAGGATGCCACTTATCTTTCCACCTCACTTCCTCAGAATATCTGTCTGTGCTTGAGATTTCATCACTGCCTAAGAGCTCCTAGGACTTGAACCAAGTGCAAACATGTAGACTGGGGAAAGAAAGTGGAACAACAGATGAACGTTTCTCAAGCTCTTCTGCAAATCAACTCATGAGATGGGTTCACAGCACAAGCAGACTCACTCAGTGGCCCAGTCTGTACCACACTCCCACAGCTTGAAGGAGACACCATGTACTACTTCAGATGAGTAACCTGAAGGGGTTCGTGCTTTGACTGTACGGAATATAAGAACTGAGGTGCTCTGTAGGTACACATGCCAATGTCAAAGGGGAAATCACCTACAGAAGATGCAGCAAATGTCACCTTCCTAAATGGAAAGAATTCAACAGAAAACCCACTCAACATGCTACACTATGGATATTAAAACCCTACCACTTTTGTGATCTATTTTTTTAGCAACTTTATGTTAATTTAGTAAACCTCTGGGGAATAAGACAGAGGACAACTTTTTGGTAGGCAGAGAATCACACCTCTTTCTCAGCACATCAAGCAGTGGCGCCTAACTCTTCTGGCCCAGTGGAGCTCCATGAGTTTTTCCACTGACCTCCAAGTTTATCACTATTTTGATACTTATGCAATTAGGGCTATATATGCTGGTCTCTGAATGTGTACAGGGGTATGTAACGAGAACCACATAGATTTTAAAAACAATACAACGCCACTAAGATTTATCTCTAGCAGAAGAGAGTGCTACTCCTGTATCCAAACCTGCACCGCGTAATTGAACAGACTTCCACTACAGTCAACAGGGTCACCAAAGTCAAGCATGGAGCAGTGAGTATGTGCAATGCTGATGAAAAATGCAAGATACTCAGACTGGGACTTGTAGCCATAAAAAAGGCAGCAAAAAGGAAATAAGAATTCTATTCCAGTGTTTTAATCACACAGCAATAAAATGTAGAAGTTCCAAGTTCAAAGAAACAAAATTCATGTTCTTTTTGATTTAAGTCTATGAGTTTCATCTGTTTGAGGCTTGTGGCTGATCCTCCCACAGTTGTTACACAGCCCTTATCTGTGTAAATAAGAGTACCAGAATTGAGTCTGTGCCAGTTTTTAAAGACCATTCCTTGATCTAATTACCTTTTACCCTTGGGAAAGCACTTGAATACTTCTGAGTATGAATCTGAAAAATTTTCAGCTAATATCACACAGGAAAAGTAGTGAGAAAGGATCCCAGCCATAAGCACAAAACCTTACATCTTCTGACACTGGAAATTGTACTGACTTTTAACTTGAGTGATCCCTGAAATTCAATGGACTGAAAAGAATAATACACTTTCAGTGATGTGAGAAAGCAGAATGAAATTCATGCTTGAGAAGTAAATATTTTCCTGAGTTTACATTTACAAAACTATTAAACTCTAAATAAGGAGCAATTTGTAAAGATTTAAAGTTGAGCAGTACAATCCATTTTTTAAAACTCTTTCACCTTTCTCGGGGAAAAGAAAAATAAGCACGCCAGTCCCACAAGCTGCTAAGGCCCATCCACTTCTTCTGGTATACACACGTGTGTGAGCACAGCCACATGTAGGATGAAGAGAAGTGGAGCCAGACTGCCACTAGAAGTTTGATGGCATGGGAGTATCACTTAAAGCATGTCTCAGTTTTTGGCATGAGGGTTGACAGGAACTGCTCCTCATGGCACCTCCTCTTCCAAAGCACTTTCCTTTTGCAAATACCACTGTTGTCTAAACAAGCGCAACTTCCACTCCAGGCTCTGCAGATCCCACATATAGGCTCTTGAAAACCAAACCAGCCTGGGAAACCAGTGGCAGTCAAACCAGAAAACAACTTATACTACCTTCACAAAGGGTAGAATGAGAGAAAATGGCACTGGCATTTTCCTCAACTTACCAGTGTGAAAACTGGCACCAGTCTTCTTGGCACCACTACAGGACATAGCAAAGTGACTGGCTATATTCTGAATACAGGCCCAGAAATAACCACAGGCCATTCTGTCTGAAAACACTGTCCAGTTTTCATCCAAGTAAATGACACCTTGTCTCTCTCTACTGCTCAGATTGATCCCAAAAGGGCTGACTCTACCACCCACCATCAGAAAACAGCTTGCCAAGCTACAGCAACTACCTTAACACACATGGCAAATGCCTGATGAAACATTAGGTCACAAACCCAAACTAAATCAGCCAAAATAAGCCCCTCAAAGGGTTACTGCTGCAAAACCAGGTACTCAGAATCACAGAACTACCAGAGTCCTCTTAGTTGCTGTTTCAGCAGCTGAGAAGACACATGAAGAATGAATGGGAGGAAAGCATGATTTTCCTATTGTGAAGAAAGCATTAGAGTGGCAGCAGGAGTGTCACGATCTGTTCCGACCAGATGATCATAAGATGGACAAGATGCAATCTTGATGTAAACACACAGAGAAAAGCCGAGTTATCCTGAGCAATCTCTCTTCACTTGCCTCTCCTCCTTTGGGAGTACTTAATCCTATGTTCCCAAATGTTCAGCTCCTTAAGTGGAGTTTAAGAAAGGGTCAAAAAGAAAATCTACCGCTGCTGAACTTCTCATGAGTTGCACTCCTGTGTGAATGCTCCATTTGAAAAAATGGAGGATTGACTTACACAAAGGTGAAGAAACTAGCATTAGCGGCAGGCTGTTCATAACCAGCCACACAATGGGTTCAGCCTCATACTCTGGTATTCTGCTCTGTGCAGACCTAAGATACCAATGGTCAAGAGCCTATGGGTCCATGGGTTCCTGCTACAAGAGCACAGAGAAGCTGCAAGAAAAGTTAAGACACTAGCTTGCATCAGCTGTGTTTTCAAGATTTCCTTTGAACACAAAGATTCAAATTTTATAAAGCTTCAGTAACTCGTATTTTCAGGATGCTCACACTTGGTGACTCCCCAATATATTTTAGTTTTTTCTTCTGCTCTGTGCAAA